AATACACTAGCCTTCCTGGTTACCCACAGTCCATGGCTACAAAACAAGTTAAAAGCGACGTACAAAATATACATAGCCATAGGAGATACATGTACATGTACATTAGTCAGTGGCGAGAAAACTCTTTTATACATGTAGGAAGTAATCTAAGGAAAAATACAAAAATTGGCTTTACTTGACTGTGTGGATTGCGTCGGTGTTCACACTTATGCCGACATAGGAAGTAACACAATCATTGCCCGAGATACTGCAGGCTAGTGTAGCTGTGTCACAATACAGTAAAACCTGTCAAGGCGACCACTCGGATAAGGCGACCACCTGTCCTAGAAGACCACTGCAACCAGGACCAAGAGATGCCTTTTCCAGTCAATTAACCCTGGATAAGGCGACCACCTGCTGACAGAGACCACATTTTGAAGGTCCCTTGAGCGGTCGTGTTAGACAGGTATCACTGTATATGCGAAGACAGCCATTGCAACAGGCTATAAGTAAAGACGGAACATTGCTCATAAATGTACAATTAAACCTACATGTCCGCAGTATGGGAATCCTTCCTAAAGTATATAAATACAACCGCCTCCTACTACACACTTCTGAAGTACAATTAGAAGCAAGTACACGCGTTCCATTGCTCTGGTTTTCACGTTGGTATGAAGTGAACGATCCTATCACCATGCCAGCACGAGTGATGTTTGATAAAACCTCGGATGTTGAGCCAATAGTAAAGTAAAGAGAAAAGGACCTATAAGTAAAGTTACTAGTTCAATGTCACAATATCCTTGTCAGTTTTGTGCCTTGTTGTCGCACTATCTGACCTTGGTGGACTGTAAGTTGTATACATGTAACTAGTAACTTATACATGTAGGTCCTTTTTCTCTTTTCATAGTGATGATGTTTGACCACGACTATATGAACAAGGCTACAACATCACGAGCATGGTTATGATCGTATGGTATGTGGGTGAGTTGGTCATTTTTCATGCTTTCGCGTGGATTATTTCTTCGAGTTCACAGCGAGTTTTTCCAGACAGCTCACAGGGTGAGGCGAGAAACTCCCCGGGCGATCGCCAGGATTGCTAATCATTTTGAAGCGCACTGTAGTACCTGCGAGTTTTCCTGTGTTTTGTAGTGCAGTATGTTGTATCTACAGGTATCCTCGTGTCCAATCAGAAGTCTGCGACGTTAGAACTTCATTGCAACATCTCTCACTGAAGAGCACTAGTGAAAGACGTCAGAAATGATTCCTTGACTCTGACGCCATCGGAAGAGTAGCTGCATCGGCACGGCAAGCCTCTGAAATCAATGCTACTGCTTCAGCATCGAATAGCCTCTGGCGTATCCTTAGAGGGGTGGACAACGTGACCAAGCCATCTGCTTGGATGATCCGAATGCACTGTACTTCCTGGTAGCGTGCATGCCACAAGCGCAGACCGCCGCCAGAGGGCAAACAGGGAATCAGAACTGGCTCCACTGACCTGTTGAAGACAGTAGCATTGACAATGTTGGGTGCTCAACGATCGGGTCAGCCTACAGGATGACTTCGACCATTGGGCAGTGGCTTGCTCCTTTCCAAAATGCATTCAAGGTCTACTGAATGATCCTCCAATGGCCGGGGGCCCAGTCAGTAACTGAGTCAGTTGGGTGGACCAAATGGCATAACAAAGGTACTTCGAAGTACCGTTTGCACACAAGCTTAAAATAGCATTACTGGTGATGGAAGACCTCTTTCCTCTCTGCGATCGTAGCGCATCTTGCGATGATGATGATGATGATGATGTGCTAACCTTTCACGTGGGTATGATCCATGATCCTCATGCTGTGTGATGTCGATCTAACTGATGTCGGTCCTTCCAAGCATACAATGGCATTCTTCCATCGGCTAAGTGACTGTAATGTCCTTGCAAGTTGCAATTAACAAAGAAAGGCGAAGAAAGGCGGCGACTTGTTTTCCGAGAGCTCGAATGGGGCACTTCGAGCTTTGTGGTCTGGAGGCTCTTGACACCATTTCTCTTCTACTTCGATGTAAAAAAGGCATCGTTAGGACAAGAGCTACAGGGTTTGTGAGTCTTTTCCGTGACGCCACGAACTATGACCACAACTTGTACCACTGCTATTGTCAGCTAAATACGGTTGACTAAGTTCTTGCCACCAAAGTGTTACGGAAGGAGAGATGCGCCTGTCATCTTCGACCCATATTGTTTGATTGTTCGGCACTATGTAGACTATGCCCGGTAAGTGGGCGGCATGACGTCATGGCGGCATGGCGGCATGACTCGTCTAACATCAGCTCACCACTAGCTCTCTAGGCTGAACAGTTAGCCGCTCTAGTAGTCGATAGCTGATTCGATTTGCTATTGGCTGCAATATTTTGATATTATGGGTGAATAGACACAGGTTTTCCTGCTCGCAACAATAGCCAGCCGATTGTCAGATATCAATTTACATTTCCTGGTTTTGCGGTCGATCGAAATGAAACCATACCAGAACCCAAATTAAAATTTGAGGTTACGGCGCGTTTGTTTCAAGCTCGGTCATTTCACCTGCATCGTATTCCCAAGAATAGCCTACATTGACATTGTACATTGTAGGTATGGCCAGAATAATCTACATGTACATGGAGTACGCCTTACCTTATAGACAATTCAAATAGATATCATGAATCCAAAGCACGACGGTGCCTTTGCCAAACCAGCTGAGATTCAGGCAAGACAGTACACCGTAAAATTTCGAAATTCGAATGACAAGGCATGCATTTGTAAGGCGAGAGAGAGAAGCTTTCCGCTGGATCACCGAGAAAATAATCCTTCCTCGGCTTTGCTGGTTCTTAGTAGAGGCCTACCTACGTGGAAGTTATAGAATGGCGATGCAGTGCGAGACAACCGTTGCAGAAAATCCCCACTTTGCTTTGACACGACACTGGCAGAACACTTATCACCAGGAGGCATGATTAGCATTTAAGACAATGAGGTGTTGAGTGAGTAGTAGAAGTACCGAAAGAACCCCTGACTCCCGTGCTTCACTCGAGAGGTGTTAGCTATGTACACAGAGCACAGACAATGGTGGAGCGGGGCGAAAGGGAGCCAAACCCCGCATGACTGTGACTACAGTATAGCGTAGCCCAGGGAGTATTTCAATACAATGTACTACTACCAAGAGCCTCCATAACCCCCCCCCCCCCCCCCCGATGGACTCTTGCTACTACTACTACTACTACTACTGTAAAACACGTAACTTTCGGTGTAACTTTAATTTCGGTGATTTCGGTAGAGAAACCATGCACCTAAATTTAAATTACACCTAAAAGGCACTAGAGTATGCACTGTATGTGATGGGCAAGCTGGTCACCTAATTCTAGATTACACCTGAAACCTGGCAGGTCCCTGGCACCGACATTTTAATGCACCTAAAATTACATGTTTTACAGTACTCCCTGGTGTAGCCTAGACATTTTGCAGTTCATTCCAGGGCATATAAAACAGCTCAACGCCGCTATCACACGAAACCTGTGGGCCATGGTGTGACAAGGTCATGTCCTTCACGCCCGACGTCCTTCAAATCACAATAACATTTCAAATGTACATGTACATGTTCAAACTCGGGTGGAGAGCCAAGGATTAATTTATAAGAAGAAAAGAGGACCAAAGAGTTACAAGTTACACTATAATATCCACCAGCACCACCAGTTACTTTACAATCAGCTCATGCTATAACATCGCACGACACTGACCAACGGTACTGACGTTCTACACCTAACTGGCAAACAGCTCTAGCACATCTCGGATGCGCACTCCAAATGTACAGGTACATGTACATGTACATTAACTTTGTAAATTCACCATGGCGGCACGGGTACAATTTCAATGTCGTGTACATTCTTGGCACTAGACTACATGGTACATGTATCCAGTTACAGTGGTTACAACCAGCTGGCAAACACTCTTCCGTGAATGTAATGTCCTTTGCAAAATACGCACAAGACATTTCATTTAACAATGCATACTTGTACTTGTGCTTCTTCAAAAAGTACAATCGTACAATCGTACAAACCCACAGGCCTAAGGCTAAGGCCTTCTTACAGGGTACCCTACATGTACTGTACATTTTGTATATGTACAGTACATGTATACATGTCATGCAGTTATACAATGTAGATACTTCTACTATGTTCATTGTACTAGTACATGAACATAGTAGAACAGCTACATTGTACATTGTACATTGTACATGTTACGAAGTACATGTACAATGTACATGTACTTAGACAATTCCATGATATTCTGCTAGGTAAGTTATTGTAGTTCAGAGGCTATTACGTACATGTACATCGTAGACCACACATGATGCCGCTGATTGTAAGATATACAGGACTGTACAATCATGTACATATCCGATTTTTAATATTGCGTGACGTTTTCACATTCTTCCTGTGATTTGTGGAAGGTGCATTAGTACATACAATGTACAATGATACATGTACATGTACTTACCATACCGTTGTCAACTCGTTAGGCCATACTTCAAGGTACTACTAGTACATGGACGCTATGGGCACCGTCACGACACGTACATGTACATGTACATGTACCTTCGTGTTGCAAGTACATGTAGAATGTCCGGAATACACAAAGATGTGTCCAGTTACTAGTATACTCTAGTAACACGTAAGAGACGTGCACAGTATCAAGATCTCAAACATATTTCCTCACCCAGGTTCAGACTGCACAAGTAGACTCATTCACTAGTATGAATATGATTTTGGAGCTGAAGTACATTGTAACTTGCGAGAAATTCGAATCCTCCACAATTTTATTAGGCTAGTGTCTCACACCCAGTCGCTGACTATTGCAAGTACATTTATGCATTTATTTTATTTATGTTTTTAACCCTCCCGCTTTTACTGCTCGGTGTTTACACAGGTATTCTGATGGTTTCCATCCAGACTAGTAGTAGTACTAGTGCCCGACACACGCAGTCCATGCAGACCAGCCATACCAAGTCGTATGATCTTAAAGCAATTATTCAAACCTGTCGTTACTTAATTAAGCCTGGAGCCAGTAGAACATCAGAAGCTGAGTTCAAGTAAATCTGAGAATTGGTATAAAACATTGTCTAGGAAATAGTCCAAGTTTGGCGGCACCTCTGCGCTATAAAAATACAATCATGTCGGCATATAGAACAGGCTAAAAATTCGGATCGTGGGAACACACCAACAAAAAAATGCGTCTAGTCATTGAGGTCAAGCTGCTTCTAGAGATCTACACAGAATGTTACAAAAGTGGCATGAGCTGTGAACTTCACGTAGCTAGGGAAGTGGCCATCTTGGATTACTGCGGTCACACTGGGTTAGGTCATTGGAATATCATTGTGTACGCGCGTATAAAGTCTAGAGGAAATGAACTTGCCCATTGCATTCACTATAGCTCAACTTTAGGTTAGCATTAGGCCGCAAAGGTATGGAGAGCAAACTTATTATCTTACAACACATGTAGCATCCTAGTACTCAAGCGTTATATATCTGCTGTTGTCTGGGTGTGAGGTGTGACTTCACTGAGTGTGGTATAATGCAAAAAATAGAAGTCAGCAGTCGTGGTGGGTGATATCTGCTGTGTGTTAAAAGATACTGCCATAAATATAGAAATTTTCTCTAGTTGTCAGAGCCTGGCCTGCAGTCCCACAACGCAATCGTCCTATCGACAGCCACACGCTTCGGCCGTCATGTCAAAGTAGAGGTCGGACTTGAGAATATCACCCTCTTCTTCCTGTATGACCAAAGTCATAGAACTGAACCGTGTCGGTATACAGCAGACGATGGGAATTGGCTGCCCTTCCACTTCAGGATGCTCATTGCGATACGCCCAGGAGCGTACGATAGCGTGATTTGTTGATGACGTCAATGGATCTACACATACACCCTTGCATGAGCCGGGGTCGAAGCCGGTGGGGGCAACGATGTGGTCCCAGCCGATGTCAGAGAAATCCAGATACATATCGTGTCGTTGGCACAGGTCACTTCGGATCTCTACCGGGTTCAGGATATCATGAATGCCGTCCGTGATGTTAATAAGCTTATCAGCCTCTCTCACAGTGTTGTCATCAACCAACTCAGCCTCCCTTCGTGATCTTGTCAAAATATCCTGATCATCGGCGCCATTTTCCAATGCCTCGCGCTTCTTCCTTGCTTCCATTTCCTCGCTGGCTTCTTGTGCCTTGACCAAGATATACTGCAGGGGATCAACAGGCTCTCTCAGGTAGATCACAAGCACTGGCCGTTGAGTGTTATTACGCTCCCCAGTCAGATCGAACAGCTTGTTGACTGTGAGGCGTCGGCCGTGCCTGTCCATGGAGCGTGCATGGAATCCGAAATCAATTCCTCTTGCGGGAGACTGGACAACGTCGCGTACGAATTCGGTGACGTCAACAGATTCCCATCTGGTCTGACGTAGAGAGACCACACTTTTTCCAACTGCTCCTCTGTACAGTGGGCTGGTTACAGTCACGTTAGCGAATGGTACTTGACGTTGGCGGACTGGCAGGTGGGCGGGAGTCTTGAAGAGAAGGAGTTCAGCTCGGAACACATCGGGGACCATGTAACCAGGCTGCTGCTTTCCAGTAAACTCCTCCGTACGACTGGACACCAGACTGTTCAGGCTGAAACGTAGCTTGTTACCTCTCTTGGACACTGTACAGACACATGGCAAATGCACACAAAGGGCAGAAGGTTGCATAAGACAACTACAGAGACTTATGTTGATAGGACATTGTTTAGCGCATACCACTATGTCTGTTTGCAACTTGTTGTCCCAGCAATCGCTGAAACTTGTCTCACCAACGTGTGAGAAGTTTCCACTGTGTTCATTTATCGGATACTTGTGTGTCTGTAGCTTGTAAGAGATTTGAAGATTTGGCCTCGGGGGATTGTGCCAACTCAACTCATCACTTTGCTGGCTTGATGGAAATCATTGCCAGCAGACACCAATTACTCAGTTTTGAACGCCCGGAACGCATTGTGTTCTTCTGGGCGTGTTCCATCCTATTTGTACATACTGCTGTATCAAGTATCCATCACACAGTTCTTCGTAGTGTATTCCCTGCTTTGCACTGACTTACGCAGTTGTCTATGATGTGTATCACTATAGCATTGTGCCCACGTGACCAGCTGACTTTGGTGGTACCAATAGTTGACCCACCCAGAAACTTCACTATTATTGGAAATACTGAGGGTACATTAACGCTTGGTACATGTATCTGATTCATGCTGAAAATAGTACACCGCTCCCAGCTAATATTTGACAACAGTCAGCACCCATTGCGGAGCCTCTCCTTCAAGCTTATGGCATGCCACTGCCACTCTGGAAGGACGTACTGATACGCTGCCTGCATCATACTCATAGTGCATTCCGACTCTTTTCATTTTCTAAGCATTGCCATTGGTAAACATGCAAATGAGGTCCAAGCACTATTGGCATGCGCACTGTCCCAGGCTTCGTTCCTGAACTGTGAGTCTCCAACCCATGACTTGTGTAAGGAAAATTCGCCCCATTGTGAGCACTTGATTAAAGATGCTAAATACAAGATGGTCTCCCGAAAGACGTTGGAAATGTTGTCCAACAAATCGATGTAATCAGGTTGGTACTGATTCGCACTGCACCTACACTCCCGCACTCAGTCTCCCCTGGCCTGTACTACTGCTGTCGGACGGCAATCTGCGCAAGAGGTGAAGCTCAGGGAAAACATTGCATGTCGCCCATGGTAGTTTTTCCAGACGCCTATACTATGACGGAGAATCCCTGTTCAACTTCCCTACCGAGCCATGGTACACTGCGATTCATTGTGGTAGGTGAGGACCAGCTGACACTAGCATGCAAATGAAACACACGGCCTGGATTGATCTAGCCAAGACGGGAAGCAGGCAAATTCCACAGGGAGCGCAAGACGCGAAGAACCACCCATCGCTGTACTGGTTTCAGCTTGTTTTGGACCTTGTTAGCAGCAATGTTTGTTCAGTGGTAAGAATTGGCAATAGTGAAAATCCTGCATACATTAGCGTTGATCACCACCTCAGGCTCCTCAGCGTCAGCACTAAACCTCCAACAAAGAAACTCTGAAAGCCCTTAGCTCAGCCACTTCGGATTCGAGTGGACAGTGGTTAAGGATAAGAGCCGATGAATCCTATTACCAAGCATCGCTGCTACCGTCCCCCAGTGCATAGCCTTTCCGCTGCACCAAGCACCTACAAAGTACCGCGTCCCGGCTCTTCAGAACTGACTCGACTCCTACTACTAGTCCTATTGGTACATGGTGCATACAGTGGGAAGGCGTGCCATTAGCATTACTACAGTCCTGCAGATTTACTATACCTGGCGCATAGGTTTAGATTTTCCATTGACACTCATGAACTCAATGCATGCGACCTTCACTGTATCAGCATTCCTTCTAGCGCAAACTCTCAGTACCCAGCCCCACTGTCACTGATACTGTTAATAAGTGTTATACCGCGGTAGCTCAAGAAGCAGTGTTGCCACTGTTGGCATCGCGGTTGGTGACGCATGCAGGTAAGTATGCGTATGCCCCATGTACCTGCGCGGAATACGCGTGAATCCGCAGAGTGATTTCAAAAGGTCAGTGAAACCTCGGGCAACAGCACAGGGCGTATTGCTCTATGGCTTGTATAAGGTGTCATGCCCCATAGGTACGACATTCCTTCGGGAGAATATACCACTATATTTTTGATAGGACGATTTACAACTAAGAATAGGCCACCAAGACATGTCACCAGCGCTCGACGTCCGAGGCAACAGACTGCACTGCACTGTTCACATCAATGGAATCTTCAACCGTGTTGCTACCTAACGACCACCCATTATCAGATGCAAACAGCTAGTACTCTGACGACACTGCATTGCGCCTGAATGTTCCACCCAGCACAGAGTACGTAGATGTTGAGTGTGCGCTTTCTCTAGCATCGTACGAATACGACCGTTGGGCATTGGCCATGGCATCGGGGTATAGATAAACTGTCACTACCCAGCTACATCACCAGACATCAAGATCCAACCACCCACGGTACCACTACTACCAGTACCAGTAGTGCTAGGCACTGTACGTGTAGGGCAAAGGACCACAATGACTAGGCATGCAGACTGCACCTAGGACATCCTGTTGCTTTTATCAGCCCCTTGCTCCATCCTCTCAAAAGCACAAATTACATGGGATGACGCCCAACATGGAGCAAGAATCGAAACTTGAAAACGCGCGCTTGATCCTCCGCAACCCACAGAACTCATGTCACCGCTACAGTACTACTCCTAGCTCGGGGAAGAAGTTCAAGAACATTAGCGTGTTTGAACTAACTGTTACTTACTGCGAGTACGACCCAAGGCCGTGTAGATGCCCTCCGCCTTCTCCAGTGGCGTACCCAGGTAAGCCTCGGATAGTGTGCGCTCCATTCCAGTGTCCGGATCAAGGCGCGCCGTCATCAGCGAGCGGACCACGTGATGCATTGTATCCCACTCGCGACGCCGAACTGGTCTGCCGTTGCCTGAGCCTGGTCTTGACTCAGCCGCCGACATTGCATCTCGATTTGCCTCGGCGGCAATGCCAGTAAGCAAGTGCGAACAGAGGAGGAAGCAGAAAGCAGACGATGCGAACTGCAGGACGATCGATCTGCGACGAAGACAAGTGAGGGACGAACAGATAAACAAACAGTGGTATGGTTAGCTGATGACAGGCGCATCAAAAGGCTCCACCACACCACATACATGTATTGAGTAGCAGTACGTAACGTACAGGATACATGGTATAATAAGTGCGGAGACAAATCATCTTGTACGTTTCCTAGACACCAAAGTCCTCCTGGAGCGGCTCCATGCACTCTACATTATTGACCGATATCGCGATGTACTACTAGTAGTACATCGTAATGAGGGGTGGACGACTAGTATTAGACGAGGAATATTATTATGCTATACGAGTATTCAGTATTGCGTGGCAGACAGGTGTTTAGGTGGCTGGCAGCGGATAGCACCAGACACAGTGCAGTGTGTAGTGGTCACCGTCACACTCACAGTGTGTCTTCCACACGGCTTCATGCGGCGGCGTACATACAAGTCCTGCACTGGCCTGAAATGTGAAATGGCACAACCAGCTTACCTGTGTGTCATTTTGACGGTTACTTGAGCAGAAGTTGAGGTGTGTGTTAGCAGTGACGAGGTTGTGCTCAAGTGGGGGCTGGCACAGGTAGCAACTAGGCAAGAAACACGTCGGTACCACCGCAGAACGGAGATGAAACTGTGCGATTATCACAGAGAACTATTACTTGGCTACCGGACGCGAGACTAGTCCTGTCAGGTCGAGTAAAGAATTAGCTTGAAGGCTAACCGTCCGCTATCTCGCTTCGATAAACCGTACAGACTTTGCCAGAAGCAAAATAGAAAACCAAGAGATGTTGATCTGTTGCTTTCTTCGAATACTAGTTTCAATGAGCAGAAGATTGCAATAACCACTGAGGAGCAGATTTCTTCCTTGTTTTATACGCTTGGCCAAGCATGCGAGTAAGGATAAGTAGAGCCCATCGGCGACGAAGACCGTCAACGACGCGGCGTCACAAGAGCGGGGCCTAGCAATCTATCCGACAGTATTGCGCGTGCGGTACATGCCACAATGCTAGTACGGCAGTAGGCAGTAGCTATTGCGAGTAGGACTGGTTGTTTGTGCTGCACTCTATTGTTATCTCAGTACAGACGTGTACCTATACATCTGCCATGCAGCAGTCAGCCTGGCCCTGGGCTCTTAGTCTTACTCTCAGCGCACATGTGCCTTACGCTTGGGCCTTGCACAAGTGTAGTTGCGCCCGAGATTCTCGTAAGTCGTATTGTGTGCCATAGCGTGCATGCAAGCGTGCTGTATCCGTCCCATCCATGACGGCCCAGCCAGCAGCAGTAAAACACGAAAAAGCTGCATGCATAGCAGAGCACGTCAACTCGGACGTACCTGTCAATCGTCTGTCAATCGGGCATGTGCGGCTGGGACAAGGGGCTGAGACGTACATCGCTAATGACTAGTAGTAGTAGTAGTGCGTGTTGCACATGTACATGCACACTAGTAGCTGCACTTGTCTTGAGACTCCTCGGACTGTGTGAGTCGCCTGTGGTGATACCAGTTGTAAACACTATTCCCCTTTGACAACGGTAACGATCATCAATCCGGCCTGCATCCTAACTCATCCTAAGGACCTAACTGCAGTGACGAAGAATACACGGCATAGCACACAAAGTCCAGCATTGAAAATCCTGTGTAAACAGGTATACAGTCTGTCCGTGTAATTGCATGAACGAATGCAGGTTTAGGGTCAACACACCCCGCTAACAACTCTGCTCTTTCCAATGTCCTTTCCAGCTGTGTGATATCTAACAGGCAACATCCTCCCTTAGACATGTTTTCCTTTGCAAAGGTTTAGTACCGACACGCACACACCGAGGAACAAACAGCCCACACAGGACGTTTGGTATTCCCCATCAAACACCAGCACTAGCAACACCCTTGTTGTCCTCCCTCGCTAGCTTAGTAACAGACACGTTGTTGTTCCGTTGGTGTCTTGTCTCACAACTGCTTCAGCCTAGAAACATGATGTCGGCGAGGACCACGCGTAAAGCATGTCCACCACAGCTGCATTTAGATTTCGTGCCAAATGTACTGTGCCCAATTCGTCTATGTAAATAGCTGTTGTTTATCCGAACCTGGGGCCTTAAGTCTGGTGTGTCTTACGGGTGCAATTAGCCGACTAGAACAGTAGTTGAGACACGTTTTTACATGGGATGAAAGAAGGGTGGAAGCGTGAGGTTCCCGTTAGTGACGTGTCCCTGGGGCAAATGTGGGGATGTCCTGGTCCGTGTGGGTATATTACGATGCATGGGGCTGTGTTATAATGTGCAGGGGTGGTGATGGACCCTGTGTCGGTGGTCTCTGCTTCAAGTCTGAGACCGTGTTTGGGAGTGTGTAGCTACTCCTGAATTCGTTACATCATCTTCAGAAAAAAACAGAAGTAAGTTTGAACAGCTCGTGCAGCCCTCCCTCTGCATTTTGCAGCTTGGATACTGTCTGTGAGTGTGCGCGTGACAAGCATGCTTAGGTGGTTGTGATGTAAATGTAGGAGTGAATTTATCGCCATCATCACTTGTTCATGGCCTGCGGATATTGTGTCCACTCGACGCATACATGCTGCTGCTGCTGCTGCTGCACTCTTTCAAGGACTTTCAACAGGAGGTACTTCCCTTACACTTCACAGCCAGCCCGACGCACACCTACACCACTAGTGCACTAGACTCGACACTTGTGTACTTTGTTATAGTGTTCGATAGAGCTCCATGGCCAATAGCAGCACTACTACTAGCCTACTAAAAGGACGACCAAAACAGCTGCAGTGAACTGTACCACTGCATGCAGCATGCTGAGAACAGGAAAAGAGGATAAACTGCGTGCGCAGGTGACCTCCGTAAAGTAAGGTTCAAACGCAGGTGCAGACTTGAGCACAGCATCAATAGACTCCGGTCTCTCTCCATAATAATACAGAAAGTTTCACAGCACTGCCTAGTACGAGTAGATCTACTAGTACAGTAGAGTAGAGTATGGGGAGGTGGCTGGAATGGTACGGACCACTGTACATGCCTGTACTGTATTCGAAATCACTTGATCGAGTTGAAGCCAGTTCAATAATCATAGTCTTGAACGAAGATAAACATAGCTAGTGTGTGGACCGGTAGAAGTGACTGAAGCTTTCTCGCGCCATGAAATAGACGTATCTGTCCAGTGTCCACCCAGGGTGTAATAAAGGTGGGCGAACACACACCCCTGCTGCTTGCCGGCGGAGACCGCAGAAGAGTTCCTTTGAGAGCGAAACAAGGAGAAAAGGGACTTTTTCGAGAGGCCCCAGAGTGGATCTGTCTCGCTGATTGTGTTTTAGGGGTATCCTCGCGCCGGTTCCAGTGGTGTGGAGGAGTTAGGTAGGGGTCATCTACATTGAGAGCGCCCTATGGTTATGTGAACGTGGACGTGAATCAGTTGGCGCGTCTAGCTTCTTCATTGAACATTGTCACGTATCCATTCATGCATGCATAATGTCCTCATTAACCATGCCCAAAAAACCCAATTATGAGTAATAATTCGAGACACTTCTCTTGACTCGTCCATTGTTCCCGAGATGAGATGTTGGAGTAATACTGATTGATGGCCAACATCAGGCAAACAATCCATGTGGTACAATGTACTTGCTGCATGTGCAATATCACACCTCACGCCACGGGTCCTCTGTTATTCACAACAACTATTGTTGCTGAAAGGCCGAAAGCCCAGCCAAACACCTTCATAATACTAATGGTGTTTCAGACAAATACATGTGATGATGGCGTGGTGTGTAATTAGCCAGCTGTTTAGTCCTCCGCCATAAGCGAACTGAATGTAGAACTTTGATCTACTTTTGCGCATTCCTTTCAACTGCATGGTTCAACGATTGACAGACATGCAGACAAAGGAAGTGACATGGTCAAGACAAGTAACACAAAGCCAAGTTGTTATAGAGGGATTGTTGGTGATGGCAGCGCACTACCGGTATACCCCACTCTCTTCTTGCTGTTGTTCTTGCGCCCAGGCCAGTGTGACAGCTAGTAGTGGTTGAGGTCTTGTGTGTGTAAGCAACCAGTACCCTACCACTCAGCACCCGCTCATTCCTGGATGACCTCAGGCAATCTATTGTCCGCGGGTCACACTTTCGTTCCAATAGGGAATGGGTGCCTGGAAGCTTCGGGCCGTCAGGTGCAGAAGGAACTCTCTCGTCAGTTCGACTTCTGCTGCTGGCCCCACATTACTCCTGACCTGATGGTGGCAGAGCAATCCGTGTGTCCCCTATTTCTGCCGGCACACAAATGTCAGTGTTAGTGGAGGTTCCCTGCACGATTTCGTCTTATCAATCCACTCCCTGCCCGCGGCCAAATCCCACTAAGAACAATAACCTGCAGAGGCTACACACAGGCCAGCGGACTAGGAACACATTCTCACACTTTCTCACAGCAAAGAAGCCGACCAAGGAGTGCCCAGCGTGTGTTGATACTACCTCGACTGGCATGACGTCCGTACGTTGCCGAATTTAGTTTTCGCTCGCCCCTTTAAGAGCAGAGGATTGACGACGAATTTCCTTTCTCAACGTTTGCATTATGTAATCGACACTTTCTCTTCCATTAGCCTCATTTGGGCTTCGTTAACACGAGTAATGCATGTGGATAGAATGAAATATACTTGTTTCATAGAAGGCCGGAGCAACCAGAGGTCCAGCTTTATCTTCACCTGGGTCTCTCTGATAAAGTAACAAGTAGTTGCTGTGTGGCTGCAGGCGAGGTGCATAAAACAAGCTGCGTCCATTGATCAAGACTCAATAATGATTCATGGTTTCCATCATCGCTTTAATAGCCAATGCAATCACAAAAGATTGATTGCAAACGACGCAACAGGATCAAAGGTATCTCCCGCGCAGAGCCGCGGCCATTGCATGCCACGGGCGAGTGACGAGAAAGAGCTGAGCCGAATATAATGCACCCGATTGCGTCAACTGCTCAACAATTTGTTGATCTCGTGTACGCAGGGAGTCAGTTACAAATTTATCTTTAGGGCGGGAGAAGGAGGAGGGCTTCATGAAGGAAGATGCTATTCTTAGCTGTGCATGTACTTGCGAATGGGAATGATGGCTATTATTCTCCGTGTTGTGCAGTACATGTACATGTACATGTACATGTTTTCCCAACTGCAGACAAGTGAACATACCGCTCTGCTCAGTAGCTTGTTTTAAATCAATGTTGCCACAGCGGTCTGATTTACCACAGTGGTCTAATTTACATCGTACTTGCTACAAGTTCTTTACATTCCCAACAATAAGATCGTCCTTCTTTCTGGGTTTTGTAACATAGCCACCTTGAAGTGGTGGTGTAGGCACCTTCAATAGGCTTGAAGCTTCGAAGGGATAATTTTAGCCGTGCCAAGCGAAATGAAAGTCGAAAAGGACCACACGCGCGGAACTGATGCGCAGAAGGCGCCCCGAAACAAGGGGCGAGAAGCGCGTTTCCACCCACGGGACACGTTACGACACCTGAATTCTGGCACTTCTAAGATCTTGCGTTCAGAACTCACAAAGACACCCTGGCACTGGCACTGGCACTGAGACAATCGCTCGATGGGAAAGGACAACATTACCTATTCATTGCCTTTTCCCAGTATCACTGTCGACATGACGTCACGTACTCTACATTGTATACGTACAGTTATCAGGAATGTAGGCACCCCGCACACTAGTCACTACTACACTGTACTGAGTATGAGCACTCAACTACTTACATACTTACTTCTCAAGCCCAGGTTTTTCACACTAGGCATGCGTATGACAGGTGTCCACGTTAAGTTTGAGTGTACAAGCACATGAGTAGCATGTCGGAGTGGTGTCTACGGCGTTAGGAAAACGCTTGGCAACTATTATTAGCGATCCGAGCGAAAAGGGTGCCAACATCAGCAGAGGCTGTGTTGTACTGACTCTGTAGGTTGATTTCTCTTTAGGGTGCTTGCTGGCAATGCTGCCCAGTTGTCCATCCCCAGTTCAAGCCCGTTGCCTGTAGGTCAGACTGGAATGCGTGCGGAGACGCCAGTGTGATGTCATGGTTACGCCAGTACAGGTGATGTCACCGTCTGACACTCAGCTCAGACAGACTTCAGTCGGCAATATCATCAGCACATAACCAACAGTTGCAGTTGAGTTAGGCTGCCAGTACTCAGTGCCGGTATGTGCAGGTACTGCCCTGGACCCCTGTGCTTGGCGTTCCCCTTTGGCCTTCATGAGCCTGTACATGTACAATGATTATGTACATGTACAAACAACGTGCCATGATCAAGGATCTGCGCACACGGAAACGCTATTGCCCAGTATGGGCTATAAAGTATAATCATGTACATGTATAAAACAGAAAGCCCCAGACACAGTCAGTGCTGCGCATGTACCGTAATATTCCGGTATGAGAGACAACATGACAACATGGTGTTGTACATTGTACATGTGCACACTCGTGTTCATAACGAATGCAAGGATGTAACTGTTGTACATGTATACTGGGCATGGAGCAGTCGTTCCTTGCCGACAGGCGACACGGAACCAGGCTGTCGCCAAGCACTAATGGCACTGACTATGTACATGACTCCTACAGCAAAAGACCGATCATACTCCGCTTGCTCCCATCCAGCAGATCCAGTGTACAGGCACTGGAGTTGATAACAAGCGACATGACAATGCCCTCGCCAATTAAAACGTTCATTGCGACCCTGGCTCGACGCTTGGCGCTTGGCAATGCTTCGAGGTTCTGACCTTCACCATCATTGGCATCAACTCCGTGCTGGAACCAGAGAAGTCCATGACTCTTACACTAAGTTACAGGCAGGGGAATAGGTAAGTATTCGAGCCGCTTCTTCCTGACACCATCCCAGGGTGATCACTAAGCTATTGGCCAAGGCGGTAATGATTGCGGCTTGAAAGGTGCACGGGGTGAGTTATAATTTGTCACAGAGCCTTCAAAGGAAACATTAAACAACTAGTTGTGACCGACAATGGCGCCAGGCTACCCAGTGTGGCAAGCATATGTCGGTAAATGTCCTCTGGTAAGTACAATACCAATATGTTGGAACGTGCAGTTTGTGGCGTGTCCTGTCTTCATTGTGCCGGTTAGCATAAGCGAAATGAGCAAAACGTGCGGGGTACTGATGCCGCAGTGGTGGGTGGACCGGCCAACTCAGGCCAATATGGCCCCTGCTCTCATGATCCCTGCATACAGTTCAACTACTCTAACTCCAAGCCTTGTCTTGACTCCCTCTGCTAGTGATTGCTGCTCGCCACCTGCTGTGCCGCGGATACTAGTAGTAGCAGTACTTCTTGCATGCATTACGAGTACATAATAATGTAGGCCAGCCAGCTTGATTCAAGTGCCTGTTCGTATGTGTACTTAACTAACTTGGGGTGACATCGCACCGTCTGACAACCTGTCAAACGACGTTGAATTGACAAGCTACATATGTGCATGTACATGTAGCTCGCGATGCTCTATCAGCCTATGCTCATAGTCATATCCGCCACTGTCTTGGTCGGACTGGCCGGCCACGCGCCATGTAAATATTTTGTTCAGAATAAACACTGTTCTGGATCTCGCGCTATGTCGCGAGCAGAAAATGTGAGAAATACTTCAGCCGCAGCTCCAGGGTTATTGTCACTAATGTCAGCGCGAACACTGCGAAGTGTCTAGTGCGGCATTTGACAGTTCTGCTCGACTGGCGGGTCGGCCCACGCCGCAGCATGCATCAGCCTAATAGAGACACGATGTGCAGCGAGAATCACAAAGTACAATCGCAAAGTACAGTCGCAAAGTGTGAGTAGTCACGTACATGTGGTCCTAGTCTGTCGTCAGCCATGGTAATTATAAACAAGCACAGACTGACGGCCAGCACCAAAGCACTACATGTCAGCAGAGTACATAGCCTTATGCGGCCAGTACCGACGACGAGTGGGATGAGCGCTTCGCCTGCGCATGTGTGTCAAGCTTTCGTCCAGCGGAACAGCCAGGCAGAGCTCGAGTGCGTCATTGAACGCCTTCCAACTACTTGTCAACACCACCATCGATAACGGAGCGAGCAGCACAACAGGGCAACGACGAAGAGGACCGTCTTCCCGAGCATGCAGGCATGCAAGCTTGGTGCACAGCGCATGCTTCTCAACTGCTAATCAACAAGGAAAGATCCTTATCAGGCAAGAATCACTAAATCCAGTACCGGGCACTGTACCTGTTCTGTCCAGAGTACATCTCAGCATTGTTCTTGTGACACAACAACTGCCAGTGAAAGGTGAGAGGGGCGGTATCTTTCAGCATGTATATCCAGTTAGCAGTTTTGCATGGCGCCTCGCCTGTGCACATATAGGACGCACGACACTCTGGCACCACGAAAGCTGATTCATTTACTGGCATCCTGTGGTGGGAAATCTGGTCGGGAAAACAATCACGCTTGTGCCAAGCCATGGCGGCGAGAGCAGGTACGAATAGCAGGAGATTGTCATGGTCTCGGGTTCATTTGTGATGCGAACCAAGCTGATTCCGTGCCATCAGCAACGTCTGGCATGGCTTATTAGTGTCCGGTGATTTGCGGGGAGAATGCTGTGGGATCGCTTGTATCTACTCTACACTCGGCAGGCGATCGGAGGGGATGATTCGAACGTGCTGGGAAAGGGACTTTGCCAAGACGAGGCGCCCATCGAACAGTCAACAGCGTTCCTGAGTGGAGAGTGGGAGAAAGAGGAATGAAAACACGTCCAGCCAGCAGATGTTGCAGCAGACGTGGCGCAATGGTAATTGTGATCCAGACAGTCTGCGTAAACACTGCAGGCTGACTACTTGCTTGCCAGAGAACCTCGCACTATTACGTCAGCACCGGGAATGAAGAATGAGAAGCAACCCACGCCACATTGCCACGAGAGAGTGAGAGAAGGCTATTCCCTGGAAGGTACCGATGTGTTGGTATACTTAACCTCGGTATGTTTTGTTTATAACTTTGCATTGTGGTTTGGTAATCCCTATACGTGATCTTTCATGGGCGTCATTAAGACCATACCCAGGTTCTCCACATTGCAGCCATGCACAGACACAAACAAACAACAGTTTGCTTACGCGTCTTTACATTGACCCACCAATTAGACCGACATATCTTTCTTCTCTCCAGAATAGCCGCGTCTACCCGCGGACCCCCCCCCCCCCCTCCCGATTGATGAACAAGATAAAGGCACTACCGGTTTCTTTGGAAGGGGTTGTCGGACTTCCATAAACATGTTTGTAACTAACAAACTATCATTCCTTCAAACCGATTCTGTACTTCTGATGAGTATCGGTACTACAGCATGTATAGTAGTACCGGTACTCATCAGAAGTTGTTTGTTGTTTAAAGGCATGCTGGTATGATGAAGAGTGCAGAACTCCCAGGAGGTTATTTACTCTCTTTAAACATCTTGCCAGTGCATTCCATCGGCACCAGATGCCCTCCGAATACTCCCAAGCTTCTCCCTCAGTGCTCACCCAAACCACGCGAAACAATTACATACCGTAATATCAAGTGTACGTAACATCCACGCAGAGGTTATGTACTCTTGCTAATAGGCATAGGTGCGCCGAATGGATGGTGTTCGCAGGTCTCGCAAGATCTCGTAGACCCCTCCTCCTCGCCCGCCCTTTTCAAAGCATGGTTTAGCTAACTTCCATCAACTTCCAAAGTATGGTTAACACATCACCTCCCACCCAAAGCACGCGTGGTTAGCACATCACCAGACAGTGATGTGTTTTTTGCAATAGGTAATCCTACAGCAGTCAGAAGGGTTATTGTCCGCTGAACTGCAGATACGCTACACCAGCGCTGGCAAGGACTAGCCTGCCTCGTCCCGTCCGTGCCTGTTCAGACCACAGAATCTATAGGAAGCCGAAGCGTGCCGGGGCATGTGGTTGAGCATTGAATTTACTACGGTACTGAGGTTAATGTGATGATGTCTTGCTCTTGCTTGGATAGGATCAGTTTCCCGTATAACTGTGAAAGCAGTGCCAGGGTGCCTGTAGTTGCAGTAAAAGTTCTGCTCTCTTGACTTGGCCACCAACGTTCATAATATTAATGGCAGTCGCACATAATGACATTACACGTATGTCTGGCATGGCCTGAATTCCTTGACGCAGACTAGTTCCTGAGACCACTATCTGTAAGAACCACTTCAAAAGAAAGGGAGCATTATCTGATCTCCTCTCATTGTCTTCTGTCCATTGAGCAACATCAGGTCGTCTCCACTGAAGTCACGGCACAGCACCATCAGAATCACCTTCCATACTTGGCCTGATCGTGACGTCAGTGCTTCGAAGTAATCTATGAAGTACTACAGAAGCATTCTCTAACCAGCAGCAGCGTATAGCTAAAGGAAGTTGGCTACCCATCCAACAATCACTACAGTATCTTTAATACTCAGATTCTGACTGTGAATAATGTTGCAACGCATGTTCATTGGCATTGCGGCTGGTCATGTCACTGAGGAATGTCCGGCGCAGTCTCTGTACAGGTACTGTGGCGTGCAGTAACTGGCCAGTGCAGAGAGCCAGCGCGACGACAACAGAGATTCCTCATTTCCAGTCTCCTTGAACGATATCGGCTTGTTGAATGGAGGTAAGAAAGGAAGTAGTTGCAGCGCCAGCAAAACAATGCCTGTAGAACCTTGTCTGGCACCAGAAAGTGCCCTTCTTTAGGTTCACCAGTACCGGTAGTCCTTATCCGACAATATGAACTGGTAACCAGTGGTAATTAACCGTTCTTACGTAACCAGGCAGTCGCTCAAGGACTACGGTCAATCAGTTGCAAAACTGCCCCACCTACGCAGCGGAAGTTAGTACCGGAGCTAGCAAATAGGACAATGTCAACTCCGAACACACGCTGGTATGCATCAATGCATGCTGCAACAATACACATGATGCTATGCTGTAAGTTATGTTCAACAGTTGAACGTCCTTGAGGCAGTTTGTATACGTATTCATAAGCCTGTTTTGTGTAAGCAGAAAGAGCACGTTGTTGCACTGAGGTTGTATTCGTAGGTTGACACTTCGTTCAGTGCCTTCTCACCTTTGGTTACGTACTCTTGTTACCTTTCTGCGTTTCCTCTAGTGGTTTTATTGCACTTGTATCATGATGTTGTTTCTAACACCTTTCTATTACAGTACTTAACTAACACTGCGGTTTCTTTGGTTGTATCCTTTACTTTAGTTCCGTATTTTTCCCACTGATGATAGGAACGAGAAAATCGATTCTGGGTTTCAATGATATTATTTCTTGTTATAAAATACACGGTCATACATGTCGACAAGTAACGTACATGTAGTTGCGTGATGTCTGCGGCCTTCATCCTATTCATAGCTATATGCTGTAAGCAGATATCTGTACGCATTTTTTTCCGAATCTAGTCCGCATTCAGCCACCATACACCTACATCACTCGTCATTAACAATACAGTGTAGATTTCTTGTCTAACGCAATAACTTCGTTTAGATATCACGCTTGTGCCTGTACCTGATCACCTCCTTTACTCAGCCACTTCACTGCGCTTGTCAGCATGCCAACAAAGGAAGAGCTACAAAGCATACATGAAAAGTGCTCAAGCACTTACAATGTAACTGCCAATAGCTGAATGTTAAAAGAAGTTTATCAGAAAATTCGGGTCTGCAGAGGGACAAATCAGAACAAACGTCTAAATATAGACTACGGGCTTGTAAGGTTCACCGTGCCTTGTCAATAGCTCTCTGCCACCTCTGCCTGAAGAAGAAGTAGAATGCAATAATGTTCTATTGTTAGCCTAACAGTGAGGAGGGAAATGAAAGCAGACTGCTGCTAACCATTGTTGGTTTCACTCATTCCGACAATCACGGTCGGTTCAGCAGGGTAGGGACCTAACAATTACATTGTTGTAATCTTGTACGGCTGGCTGCACCACAACTTGAATCATTCCGGCGCTTGAAATAATGGGGTATAACAGAGAAGGGAGAGAGTGACAATCGGTAAGGCACTGAATGCAATACAGAGACCAGGCGTGTGTGATGTGTGACGGAGGTATATGTACAAAAACGACATTTGTTTAATTGTTTGAAGTATTTTCTAAAAAGTCCATGCATTAATCACCCACAACGATGACTCTGCTAGCTGCATGTTCGGTGTAGTAGAATGAGATGCCAGGGGTAATGATGAAATAATCATGATTGTCACGATGATGTGCATCAGTGCAGCATTCAGAGATAACAACAGCATAAGATCCTTGTCGCCGGCTTACAAGTAACTCAGGATTTCCATGATTCATGGACAGTTCACATACCTCAGTATCTCACACAGCACACCGTGTCAGTGACTGAGTCGGTTACTGGAATGTAATGTATGCAGTGAAGCGCAGAAAATTGGAACAGGAGCGCGGGGATGCTAAAGCAGCTATGCTCGCAGTCTCCTTCGAAGCACCTTAGAACAACAACAACAACAACAAAATACACCCTTTACCCATTTCAACTCATGTCAATATGTTGCCGACCACTTTGTAAAGTATAATGGGTCCATCAGCCATGACATGTCCAACATATACTACACTGCAGCTCTATCAGTATCCCTGTTCAGGTTGGCAGAGGCTTGGTTAGTACGGTCACCGGCCTGCACAGATTCTGTGCCCAACGGTATTTCTGGTCTTCACTGCATAGGCTGAATAACATTCAGCACCCACAATCAGTAATCATTAATTTTCAGTGTGGAGTACTAATGTGAGGACAACTGATAATGCCTATGAAGCATGATGTACATGAATGTGTGACATGATTAGTGCTGTACACTATGACCAGGGAATGGAAAATACCATAAATTTACGACTCCCTGACTATGAAAATACATGCATGACGTAGACCTGCCAGCATACATGTATGTTCGGCCATTTTACCTTTGACTGAGCCCTTCAAGTCCTCACAGCTGCAAGACAAGTCATTGCTGATCCGGCATGCATGTCCATGTCCATGTCCATTGTATTGTGCAGTGCCCGGGCACTACAACAACACTACTGTTTTTCGATTTTGACAGCATGTTACAAGCAGGGAGTCGTAAAATACCGGTATTTTACGACTCCCTGGTTACAAGGCGAGGACGCGTAGTGCTCCTGACTACAACCATAACCCGGCTGGCAGAGTCCAAAATCGAAAAACATGTTAAACTACCAAGCAAGGCTTCTGTGTATATAACAACAATACTGTAGTACAGTAAAACCTGTAACTAAAGACCACCGTGACTAGCGACCAGCCTGCTACTACAGACCACCGTGACTAGCGACCAACCTGCTACTACAGACCACCGTGACTAGCGACCAACCTGCTACTACAGACCACCGTGACTAGCGACCAGCCTGCTACTACAGACCACCGTGACTAGCGACCAGCCTGCTACTACAGACCACCGTGACTAGCGACCAGCCTGCTACTACAGACCACCGTGACTAGCGACCAGCCTGCTACTACAGACCACCGTGACTAGCGACCAACCTGCTACTACAGACCACTTCGCCAGGCACGGACGGTCTCACATCCATACATGGTTGTGCGGTGCAAACATCTAACTAAAGACCACCTGCCACTAAAAACTGCTTTCTCTGGCTCCAAGGGCTAGGGGTGGTCGTTAGTCACAAGGGTGGTCGTTAGTCACAAGGGTGGTCGTTAGTCACAAGGGTGGTCGTTAGTCACACAGGTTTTACTATACAACTATCCTAAGTCCACATTGACAATGGGAACCGGTGAAAATACCCCTACATGGATACTTGTATAAACAATACTTGGAATTCGGATATAGTATAAACTGAGTCACTCTGAATAGTATACACTGGAGACCGACGTGAACTCCCGGGTCTTCTCGACAAGAGTGTCTCAAGCAAGATTTGCCCCGACTATATTTGCACTGCATACATAGCCAGCAGGAGAATAGGCCACTTTAGACACTGAGAACTAGAAATGAAACACCAGTACATGCAACACCAGTACATGCAACACCAGTACACGCAACACCAGCACATGAACCATGAACGTGTACATCTAGCTTCTCTGCATGCAACAGAGGCATCCACTCTGTACTGTTAGTAATGCATGAATCCAACAGCTGAACATGCTGTCCTTATGCACAACCAACAAGTTTAGGAATGATCACAAACGTGTAACATTCGCCGCTTACAACCCAAACACAGACAAATGAACTGTGTGTCCAACAAGTAAAACACACGCATGCACACATACACCCACACACCAGTCGAAGCCCTATGGGCTTGGGCAAAACAAACACATTACAACACTTTTCTTTCTTTCTTGAACAACTGAGCAACACGCCGTTGGCCCTATCATCACCAAGAAGCAAATCACTCAGAAGTCGATGCAACGGAAATGCCAACTAAAGTAGGAAAGACTCCTGACAAACAGCAGGGGGCAAGTCACCAAATATGGTTTGAAAGAACCGAGCAGCATACCACCCGGGACTAACGCTCACAAACTCTGTGCAAATTGAATTAAAACTTAAAAACTTACACAGTAGGTCCTTTACCAGTATACACATACACACGTCCAGTCACATGATACACACTTACTCATTCCTGATCAACCACTTCTAGTGGAGCAGGAATGAATTCCTGGTTGTATTGCCATGGCTTGCATAAGGAGCACTGGAGATCATATCTGGCTGCAATCATCTACAATGTTCAAGTCCAATGTATATGCTGCACAACACAAGCACATGCAGTGTATTGGTACGAGGCAGGGATTCACCATAGGGTCTGGCATGAACCATACCTCATACCAATACTGACAGTCTGTGCACATACTTGTTTGTACAGCAGGTTAAATACATTGTACATGTAGATGTAGATGATTTATAACACCCCTTTCACATGGTCGCAACCGACCGGGGCTCTACCAACCATGGATGGTTTGTAGAAAGGTCAGTGTTTCCGAACACGGTGTCCTCCACCTTGTTACATGCTGTCAACCAACAACATTTCATGAGATGATTCCAGCCAGCCTGCAGGTCTGGTCTTTAGCCTGCAGGTCTGGTCTTCAGCCTGCTTCATATGCAAGCCATGGCAATAAAACCTATAATCCAACTTGTTACACAGGAGTGCTGTGGTGAAACGGGCTACATACGAGTCTACATGTACATAAAGTAAGGCTACACCAACCATCCAAGAGCATCACTAAACGACATTGAATCAACAAACGAAAAACATTTCCACACACATACACCATAAGTCATGCGTCACACTATCTCCACAGTGCAATCCTAATATAGCACCCAAAACGTCCAGGCCATCCACTTGTAACCAGAAATATCACTTTCCCCAAGTGTCTGATAACCACATCATGTGCCTGCAGCAGTTGAAGATAAGCCCTGCGCATTTCCTGTACCTACGGGCCACAAGGTCACAATGATCAACTTGGAGATTAAGTGCACACTCTGGAAGCCATTCCTTCAATCATTCAAGGGGGGAGGGGGGGGGGGGGGGCAGGAAATGGTGTTTCCTACTATAACTTAACACAGCCTGCCATACTAGCTGAGGGTCTAGCAATACATGTACAATCATTATGCCAAGCAACATATGCACAGGGTAAACCGTGCCAAACAGGGACATCGAAGCATCACCACCAAAGTCTCAAAGACACAAGTATCGTCGCCAAAGACACAAGTATTGTCGCCAAGACGAAATAATTGTCCTCAAAGACACGCAACTAAAGTGCTGCTGCACGCCCATGTACATGTACATGTATGTACTATCTCCTACCCTCCTACACCCCACCCCACCCCACCCCATCCTCCTACCCTCCTACCCTCCTACACCCCACCCCACCCCATCCCAATCTCCTTAGTTTTCGCCACACACCAATCAAAGTGAATAACGTTACAACATCGGCGATCAGATTCAGGGAGATAGAAGAAGACCACTAGTGGGTGTGGTGAATGATTACCGTGTGACACAACACAATGTATCACTACTCCCAACTGACCAAACTCAATCTAAGTCAGCGGTACTGGTGCAACTTGTTCCAGGCATTTTTAATATCAACTTTGAAAAGAATTTCGAATGAAAAGCAGTTCCGGACGAGATGTGATGTGTCCCCGGACTAATTAGCTATGAAAATGCCTGTCACTGTCAGCCTGTGTACTTCAGTGCACAGGCTGGTACACACACTGTGCAGTCGGTGTGTTGCACACTGAGATATGGGACAAGATGCAACGCCAGACAACGGCTTACCTAGTAGGCTACTGGCTACGCTCAAGGCATCTCAGTTCAGACAGAATGTCAACACAGAAAGCTGCATGCTGTGGAATTCTGACACGTTGACACGAGCTTGACACACTGTCAACCTGCTGAAATCATATCAGCAGCAGCAGCAAGCAGTGGATTAGCAAGCCAAACATGGAAATTGAGACTTAACCGTGTAAGTACTTTACATGCTAACACTGGTGACATCTTATAAGGTAAAGATTAGTTCAGGCTGGCCACACAGAGAGCTATAACACAGCGCACAAGACTTGTCCCTGTGCGTGTGTGTGTGTGTGTGTGTGTGCGCGCGTGCGCATGCGTGTGTGCATGTGTGTGCGTGCGTCACACACCCAGTACAACACGACTACAATGGTGATAAGTAAACTGTAGCTCTGGTTTCATGTGCTTAATTCGTGTGAAACTCGAGTTGCATACACTAGAACCCTGTTCTGAATTTTGTGTTAGAGAGCCCCAACCCCCGCGACTGGGTCATTGAGCACTGTGCGAGCAGTGATAATCACCTACTGTGTACTGTAGTCAGACACATGGCACAACCCACAACCATACATGTACAGACTGTACTGGCTACAGGGCTGTGACCAGGTGCATTCTTACAGCAGATCCAAACATGGATGTTCAAGCACATAAAGTCATGCATGTGCACAGACGCGTACTGTACTAGCGAGTATTAGGGCACCCAAACATGGGATTCTCAAGTGGAGCACACAAAACAAAACATTCAAGAATTAGAGAAATGGTGCTAAGAGCCATGCCTACTACACCCACCAACCCACCAGCATTCCAGGACCAGTAAGTCAAACACACACACATGGACGCGTGATGCATGGAATGGGCGAGGGAGGCAAGTTCCTGATGTGAGCCAAGTATCAACATGGGGAGATGTGTCACTGTGTTGCATATTCGCTATAAATACAAGCGACACAGATCGTGATCATTGCCTGCAATGTGCTTACATCCAACCTGCCCCGTGTGCAATGTGCAGTGTGGAGTGTGATACAATACACGACGACGGGAGAGATGTGACAGTGATGTATATACTGGGTGTAGAACACACACACACACACACACACACACACACACACACACACACACACACACACACACACACACACACACACACCTATAATTGTTTTTATCACATCTAGTAACATATCCACTCTGGACAGGAGCCTGTCATACGTAACGAAAAGATCACGTTGCACACAAGAATACATTGTAGAGGATCGCTATCGGGATCACTCCTTGCCTGCTTGCCTGGAGGGTTGACACTGTCCGTAGGCTATTTTCATGGCGACATAATCAAACCTGTCGCCTCCAACATACCAATGAACTACAACACCAATCAGGCTTACAGTTACACAGTCAACAACCCACCGCCCATAAACAAGTCCATGATGTGGGTGTGAGAGCGAGCCCTGGCCTGCTCTTCCCTATAATGCAGTTTGTTCTTGTCAAACAAAAGCACCTTGCAGATATACAATAAGATAGTATATCCATGTACAGCTGAGCTAGAACTAACACTCTGCCATTGTTCCATTGCTGCTTTTCCCGCACTGAACTTCAATGCATCTTCTGTAAAAGTGGTTCAAATTCTTCACTTATCAGCTGGCCCACAGATACACTTCTCAACAATTGGTACAACCCATTCAAGTCAACCGGAATTTGCCCAAGAATTCCCCACAAATCAACAGGAAAAGCCTGGCAAAAGAGGTTCAGGCTCATGACGCAACAGTAGCGGCAATGCACCAAACATACCAATACACTGGACATACCAACACACTAACACGCCAACACACCAGAGCACAAATAGCCAGCCGGCTGCCAAGGCAACATGAACAAAACAAAACAAATGGCAGACAATGAATACTTGGCTAGAGAGCGTGGCATGACAGCATGGTGCCATGCCTACGTAAGGAAGAGAAGCACCCTGGGGCGCTGTACACAATCGATGACAGGTTGGTGACAGCAGAGAGCGCGTCACAAGAGCTCGACAAGCGACTTAGCAGCATACTGCCAACTCAACACAACTAGCACTGCTCCATTTCCCTCTCACTCGCCATTGACTTCCCAGGAGAAGCACGCAGAATGTGCTTGTGTTGACATGTAAACACAAGCAGCAGCGCAAAGGGTTCACTCAAATTGCCTGCCAGCAACCAAGCAGACAACAACATGTCTGTTGACTATATGACCATAAATATACACACATCTCAGACAATATTAAATAGGCTACTGTCACACCTGTGCACGAGTTGAACGTTCAACTCCATTCATCTGCAATATGTCCAACATTGACGGTTGAAGTGCAGAATACATACCATCGTAATGCCATGGAAACAAAAAATAACACTGACTACTTCGAAGTAGAGCCAAACGTGTTGGAGCCGTGCAGACAAATGTTTCCGCAAGTAAATTGTACACAGCACACCCCCGCAAGCACATGCGTGCTCTCTCCAGCTCATCAACACAGAACAATGGGCTTTGCCTGACATTGTGCAACACAACTCCGTGCCACTACTGTCTTCCCCAACACTTTACCATCCTGGTTTCGCCTCCCTGGCATCTCCCCTAGATTCCTGTCCTGTCCTGGAGTACTGAGCTCTCTTGCAATATATCAATAAACAGATGACATCATACACCCAAGCAGATGACATCATACACCCAAACAGAACTGGTTCTCTCCACAACACACCCCAGCACATTGTTAACAACAGAGGTAAAAAATGTCCATTGTCAACACAACAAAACTTTCACTAGACGACACGATGAACTCAAGCCACGTCACAGACTTACCGGAACATGACATGTGCCCATAAAGAATGCAACTGAGCCAACTTCCACCAGAAGGGTGTGCAACTATTGCACAGGACAACAAATGACTGACATGTACATTTAACCTGGCCAAAAGGCCTGAATGAGATAGACAAACACTTCACTACACAGGCTGTCAACCAATCAAGCTTGATACTGTCCCCAGGAAAATAACATTCCCTCTGTACTTTACAGGAGAACAAGAAAGGAAACTAGCCCAACTTCTAGCATTTGAGCTAGGTAAAGAGAGAGAGAGAGATTTACACGAAGAGCTTTACGCACACCCACAGTGCAGCAGTGAAGAGTGAGGTGAACGGCAGGTGTGAAGGTTAGGAAACGGATACCTGGGACGTATGAAAAGTCCTTTCGAGCGCCTTGTTCACACTACATCACATCCGGGTCTTCGCGCCACAGCATAATAGTATGTATCAGCTCCCATCACGCTTTATAGTCTAGAGCACGTGCAAATGTCACACTATCCCCTACATCATACATGTACCATGTGTACTGCGCTGCACACTGAAATCCAATCGTGCGAGTCAATGTCACGCCAGGCGCTGAGCAGCACCAGACCTGTGAACACTGGGTGGTGAACTGATGCAGGGCACACGCTTGACTCGCGATCGGACCTCATTGAGCAACACTGTACGCGCCTTTCACCCTGAACACTTTCCTGACCCAAACGGCCAATTTGAGTCAGTGGTTCAGTCAGACAAATACACTTTTTCGTCGTGGGTCACTCAGGTGAAACTAAATTATGTAAATGTTACATTGATACTGCAGCTAGTATTTACACTGGTTAGCTGGCTAGCTGCATACCCCAGGCCATCACATTGCTTTAGAGCGCAAAGCTCATAGTATCACCATCATGCTAACAGAGAGACCCATCTGTTGTAAGATTACAAAAGCAGACTCTCCCACCTCCCCGTTTTCTTGAACACAGGGGCTGCCTTTGAATTTCCGCTTACATAGTACTTGAGTACGTTAAATCTGAATAGGCGAAATGAGTGGCAGGCACCAGTCCTGGAGTATAATACGGTAGACAGAGCAGCAATGAGTGATGACCAGCATCGCCATTGCTGCACGTAGAATAATTAGCAATACATGGAGCAAGCAAATACACACATACACAGCAATACAGAATAGGCTCAAGTGATGTGCGCAGGTTACCAATACAGCTACGAAATCCGAAGAAGGAGTAAAGCACATGTTGTACTTTACCTAGCACGCACTGTTCATCTGTCCAATGCGACAATGTCCTACTGTGGGAACGAGAGTGCACATCGCATTCTGGCTTGCATGCTCCCTCAAAGCTAGAAGACAGTGAGTTTCTTGTGCGCGGTGTTGCGCTGTTGTTGCTGCTGTAGAGACTGCTCACGCGACTCAAGACCCTTCAGTTCTTGTTGGGCAGCAGCAATCTTACTCTCATACTGCTTTTGCATTTGCCTGCGAGACAACACACCATAACAAACCAATCATAAGCATGGCAATCTTCAAACATTACTCAGGTAGCAACATTGCTGGTACACGGAAATACTGCCAGAAAGGCTCAACCTTGTGAGTCTTGCCATGCTAACTCGTTATGTACTTTCTAATTCTTCACCGCGTGGACAGGCATTGCTGCCTGGTCGACGCTGAGGACACTCCGAGGTGACGGAAGAAAAAGTGTCTCCCAACACACACTGCACACATGCGCACATACTAGTACACACGATTTTGGGGCAACTCACGTTCCAACATTCCGCTTCAGAGCTTGCTGATAACCGGCTAACTTCTTTTTCGCGTTCTTCATATCCTCCTGGTTCTGAAATATCTACAGTGTGAACAAAGGCAAAGAAGCAAAGACACTAGCACTGACGATGGGTTGTTGTGTCAACTATCAGATGTCTGTAGACAAGCCACACAAATTTAAGCACATGCACAATGTATAGAGTATCTCGATAGGAAACAAATACCTGCAGGTGATGTGCAATGCACATACCTTGATGTTGAGTGATTTCTTGTCCAGCTTGCGATCTTCATCTTTTCCGGGTTTTGCCTTGTGTTTACCTCGATCTAAGATAGTGCACGGGGACAGAAGCAGCAAGGTTGTTCCTTGTAACTTTACACTTTGCATAGGTAGCAGCACACTTGTAAACATATTTACACCCACGCCTAAGTGCAGGCATGTATACGTATGAGTGAGCAAGCACATTTTCAAGACGATACAGACCAGACATTCCAGCAAACGAAACCCACACAAATACGCACCTGTGTCCTTGCCGGTGGCACATAGCTCATTGATCAAACCAAACACATCATGAGAATCCTCCTCCTGATCAACAGCACACAAGCAGCAACCCCAGCAGCAACAGTTGAAACAGCAACAGCAACACCACCACCACCAGCAACAGCAGCAACAGCAGCAACACCACCAGCAGCAGCAACAGCAATACCAGCAACACCAACAGCAACAGCAACAGCAACAGCAACAGCAGCATCAACACCATCACCAACACCGACGACGCCAACAACGACAACAACAACTCCAGCAGCAGCAGCAGCAACAGCAACAACAACAACAGCAGCAGCAGCAGCAGCAACAACAGCAGCAGCAGCAACAACATAAAACGATCCACTTCCACATAGCATAGAGCTGCAATGCAAACAACAAAGGCACTACCCCACACCAGAGTGCTTAACTACTACAAGAGCAGGAGCGAAATACTCAATCGTGCATACGCACTGCATTGTATGCACTGCATTGTCGATCCAAATCTTCCCAAGCTTCCCACACTTCCCAACTTCCATTAGACCCTCACATCATTCTATATGTGAGCAGGATTTACGAGTGTGGCAGATTGGGACGACTATGGCATTATTTCCATCTCACGATGTGCAATATGAATTGTATTCTTTGACATGTCTATATACTTTTTGGTCCTCTCTCTTTTTACTTATAACATTGGCTCATCATCCGAGTTTAACCCTTTATTACCGGTCTGCAGACTTTCGATCATATATGATCGAAAGTCTGTAGGCCAGTAATATCTTCGTAACTCCATCATTTCAACAATCGAAAGGTCTATTTGGTAGCGGAAACTTCAAGCTATCCAATGCAACAATCGCCGAAGAGTTACGATGTCGGACGCCAGAGATATCGCGCGCCGTATTCTCATCTCGGCAAATTCAAATATTTGATCGATCACTTCGCCATTTTTGGGGGAAATCCCGTTTCGTGTGCTCTTTGAGCGACTAAGCACATGATAATGACGTAGTCGGCTGAAGTTTGAATCGTCTCAAACAAATTTGAGCGTTCTGCGATGAAGGAGAGTGGAATGGCGTTGATGTGACGAATTTGCTTGCATATCAGGCTTGGAGACGACTTTGCTGTGTTACCGCGCCTGATTTGTGGCGGCTGGATAATGGAGCTTGGTACCCAGGCGTAGCTCTCGCCAAGAGCTTTCCAACGAGCCCTAGATTGTGAAAATCAAGTGAAGGAGACCAAAGTTATGACCTGGTGAAGTTGGAAATTGTGCTGAAATTCGTAATTCTGGTGCATGCTGTGCAAGTAATCCGGTAATAAAGGGTTAAAGGGGCATTCCGGGAGTTTTTTCGGTAGTGTGTTCTCTTCATGGGGGCCTTATATGGCCTCCAAGGAATGGGGAATCGCGAAAACTAGACAAAAAAAGTCGATTATATGAAGCCAGGGAGTGCCAAGTTTGTCTCCTCCGCGGAGGGTTTTGATGACGTCACGTGTGATTAGTATTCAAATCCCTGCATTTGAAGGTGTTAGTTGTTTGAATTTTCTGGTGATGAAGAACGATGTTTGGTCGACATTCCCAAGCTTCACAACTGCGGCCCTACTCCAAGGAACCTGAAGGGCCTCCTCAGGTGCCTCTGGTAGAAGCGCAGAGTGATGAGGGCCAGGAGATTGGAGCAGACGACTTCACTGGTCGACAAGGAAGAAACGATTGGTGTTCCAGCCAGAAATGTGGAGTGATTTGCAGAGGGCAGTCGATTGCCTTTTCTGTCGAGAGAGCGATGAAGCTGTTAGCATTGACAGCGCTGTGACATGCGTTACGCATCACCCCGAAATCCCGTCAGCTTGTCTAAACACTTACCAGCTCCTCGTCCGATCCCTCCTCCTGCTCGCGGTTTCGCTTGAGGTAAAGTGACTCCTTTAGAGGTGTTGTTTTCGGTGTGGAACTAGACTTTCCACACACGCCTGAACTCGAAAATAACGTTGGCACTGCACCCTCCACGCGACGAGCTTACGGGTCGCTTTTTGCCTGACTGGCTGCTCATCGCCCCACTAGCCATAAATTCGCTTATCAGATCGCGCTGAAAGCAGGTCGGTTCAAAGTGGGCTGAACACAAACGATCCCACTTTATTGGCTCAAAGAGCTTGTGCGTTTTCCCACCGGAGACTCGAGCTGCT